TTGTGAAAAAAACCTTGTGCGCAGAGTTTAAATACAATTTACTAAGTCATTCCAAAAAGCCTTTACAATTAGGGCATGCATATTTTAACAATACCTTTATGCAAATTGTTAAGAGACCCTACCTAGCCAACAGGCTATGTACAATGTATAAAGTATTTCAATAGTCCAATGATAAAAACTTCCAAGTGCTGTAGCTATAAGTCTGAAGACTTATAATGCTAAAAACTAGGTTTCTATATCAGTTGTGCACAGTTTAGCTTTGCGCTTAACAACAAACAAATAAAAAACTAAGATAAAATATTCTTTAAACTAAACATCATAATTGCATAATATAAATGCGTGAATTTCTCTCTAGTTTCATCATATAACATGTTACAAGTTAGAGAACAGAAACAAATATCAGAAGAAACAAAAACACTGTAAGACTATGTACTGTTCTGCAAAAAAATTTGGATATGTGGCCATGAAATGAACCATAATGCTCACTGTCCTAATTTGTACCAGCATTGCCTTTAGTATGAATAACTATTGTCTTATACAAGGCCTCATCAAGGACTTGTCAAATGAACAGTGCAGTTTGTCTATTTTGCTCTTTGGTCAGTTGATTGTATCTGATCTGTTCCCTGGGAATGCTGTTACAAGACATTTTTGTTATGACGTTGAAACCAGGTGTGGATCATAAATATTACGCGATAGGGGAACATTATCTTAGTTGAAAACATTCATTGGCCTATTGCCAAAGCCACTGGAACATCATGTTCAGGATCTATTAACATTCTTAAGCTTTTAAACGTGGAAAATCTTCACAGATAAATCTCAAGATCATTAAACAAAATACAGTTAAAACCATAAGACTTTAACTACAATATTTCGTTGGTGGCAAAACACATTCAAGAAGTAATTGTTCATCTGCCTGTTTCCAGACCTATTTTCTTCCATTACGTAAAAATTGTATGAAATTGCTCTCACAACCCCACAAAATTCATGAACCATCAACAAGATTCCAGTGCTGATGGCCTTTGCACCATGCCAAATTGTGTTGAGAAACATTGCGTATTCCCATTCTTTTGAAGTACCCACATTCATATAACGAATGCTAAACAGAATTCATAGTTTTTGCCCTTTTACTTGTGACCACATTGAATGTGATAAAGTTATCAGATTTCACGTAGTCTATAATATATCGTATATCATATTCCATGTTTACAATGTTTTGGTATCTTGTACTAATTTTGACACTAGTAGTCGACATATATGATATTTTTCTATATTCACTTTCACCTGAATTCCTTTGCATTACGTGCTGAGTGGGTTAGGTCATGAGTTCAAAGCAAAGAGTGTCCTGATATTTTTGGCAGGACAGATATTATGAATAACAAAATATTAAAAACATGTTCACTATTTTGGGTTTTTAAATTATTGCTGGGTAATATGTAATGTTAAAGCAGTATTTTAAACTAGTTTTTAAATGTATCAATAAGTTTGCAAGAAGTATTGCACAATGTTTTTGGATAAAAAAAGTAAATAATTATCAAGTATTATTTCATTACAGATCTTCTCCTTTTGATATATTGATTGGATTATCAAATACTTATGTGTGAAATACTTCTTTAAGTCGTAAACTTTTAGTACACAAACAGTTCCAATAGAATAGAGAAAATCTATATTCAGACATGCCTGAAAGAATACATGTATTCACAGGCCATCGACTACTTCACAAAGTGAGCCAAGGCTTATCTGTTAGTTAGTACATTGATATAGTCCATGGTTGCTGCGCTGGCAAATCACTGGTTAGCTCAGGTTGGCGCACTTGAAGGAATTCACAGGAATCAGGAAACTAACTTCAACAGCCAACTGTTCTCTGAGTTGTGTAAAGTGTTAGGTGTGGTGAAGATGTGGACTTTGCCTTATCACCCCTAATCTGATGGTTTAGTGGAATGGGCAATAAAGGATGTGGAACTTATGTTTGCTGAGTTTGTTAATCCTGACCAAACTGAACGGGCCAAGCACTTACCATATGTTATGATGGAGCACCACACAATAGAGGAGATATCAACAGATTGTTCACTAAATATGCTGTTTGGATGGGAGTTTTCTCCCTATAGACATGATGTACGATCTTCTCCCTAGAACAGATGTCCCTCGGTGTGCAGTAGTTAAGATCCAAATTAAGTTATATGCATGAGTTTGTATATCAAAAGATGGGAAAGTTAGCCATATGACAGATAAGTTTTATGATAAAAAATTGAATGAACAAATGTACCAGTGTGAAGACTGGTGACACAAAAGCAGCTTGGTTCTGGCTGGACAATATATTACCTTGTGCTCTGACAAGTAGGTTCATTGGTGTATTGGTTAAAGCTATCGAGAGGCACACAAAAGTTCGTAGTACACGCCGATGAACCTCTTGGTAACTGGCTTCACAAGGAGCCAAAGGAGAAGACTAATGAGTCAGAAGAGGATGTAAGAGCTATCTTGGATCATCCTGATCCAACAAAGGAGGAGGAAAGAGCTGAAAGTACTTATTTGGCCATTCCTGACAAGCCAGATGAAGAAGCATTGGATTTAGAGGCAAGAAACAACTCCAACGGTTGGTTGAGTAGCCACCATCAATGGCCACGTGATTGATATAACTGGAATTAATCATGATTATATACAGCTAGCCTGGTCATATGGTTGAAAAATTATGAGTGAAATGAAGTAGCAATCTTTGATTTTCAAGCTATCAAGTGATGTTCATTGCAAAGTGTGATCTCCACGAAGTTAGGACAGCTGGAATTAATAGATATAATACCAATTTTCACAACTGAAGATCATAGTTAGAAATTTGAAAACTCAGCTGAAACTAGGATGGTTTGTTGATCATAAAATCAGCTGGACTTTGAGGGCTACGTGACCCTTACTTTATGAGATATAAAGTTGAGTTTTACTATAAGAGAAATCCATGGGATATCTGGTGATAACTGCTCGATTCACACAAATATGATGGCTGGTGTTAGTAGATATAATACGTAGAACATCAACAGTTTACACAGCTAAAGATGATGGTTAGAAGTTTAAATATTCAGCTGCAAGGGCAGTATGACTCTTGCTTTCTGAGCTAATAACTGATTTTCTGAGGTGAAATGTTGTCTGACATTTTGCGAGAATTACTTACATGATATACTGAGTGGTGAGAGTTGTATGGAGCATATCTCATGGTCCTCACTGAATTCTCCTCCATACACCATAAGAGTGTACATAGCTTTTAGACGTGTAGTGAATAAGTTGTGTTTATTTCGAGTGTTAGTGATATATAGTATAGTACCAGCATGGATGTACGTCCTGGCTGATGAGACTTTTAGCTGAATTCTGCTATTGATAGTTATTTATTCCATGATGGCTGAAAAGAAAAATATGTTGAATCTGATAGCTCATAGATGGCAGCACGTTTGTTGTTTTTCAGTGATGAGAATGCAAGATACTTTCATTGGATCAAGTTGACATATGGCTTCAGAAAGTAGCCCGAGAAGGTTACTGAAGTAATTTATATATGAGCTGAAGGCAGTCTGTTATATGCTATTAGTTTATGTGATAATGTGTAATGGAAGTATATGTATATGGCAGTATATTTGTATAAACAAATAAATATGTGTCGTCTTGCACACGTATCAGAACATCACAGAATGACATTTGTGAGTGTTGAATAACACAAGTAGACCAATTATACCAAGAACACAACTGTTAAACAGATTTTGAATAGAAATTAAGGATTTGATCTGGATATGTGATATCCAGGACTTGTGATATGAGATTAACTGTAATTTTTGACCTGTAAATTATGATTATAATATACAATGCACACGCTATTTTCGTTAATACTTGTGAGAACATGTTCAATTTTGAAATTGAAATATTCTGCACCTAGTGACTTTTCGTGAAAGGATAAGAGTAAGAAAGAAATTGACATTATATAT